AGACTTGGCCCTTAAATCAGCTGGGCCCAGCTGTGGGGCTGTCTCATCCTTGTACTAAGAACCTACTATGTGCCAGATGCTTAGCTAAGTACTATATACACATTATTATTATTTTGGAAATTTTACTGTAAAATGAGTACATTTCTTGTTAAATAAACCAAATGATGAGGAAGTATGAAGTGAGAACTCCCTTCCAACTCTACACATACTGTTTCATTTAATTTCTTTACCTGGATATCAGGTGGATTCCATTATTATTCCTATTTTGCAGATGAGGCAGCTGCAGCGTAGAAGGGGTGAGGGACTGGTCCGTATCACGGCAGCTCGCAGGATAGACAGAGCTGGGACTAGGGTGAGGCAAGCGCAGGTGAGGCCCCAGGCGAGGCCGGGAGGGGGACCCTCACTTGGGTGCGTGCTTGCTCCCCTCCAGTGTTGGACCCTGCGCCTCTCCCCTGTCCCACCCTAGCTCCTGCCCTGTTGGGTCCTTCCTTCCTGACCCTAAGGCCGAGTTATCTCCAGCGTGCTGGGTGCCCTGACCGTCTTCGGCTTTGCTGCAGGTTCCCAAGGCCTGGGTCCCAGGCAGTCCGCAGCCAGGCTCCTCCCTGTGCACACGAGGGAACTAAGGTGCAGAGAGTGGACAGGCTCGCCCACGGCCATGGGTAGCAGAGTAGACGCTAGGACCCCCTGACTTTCTGTGCTGTGCCTTCCTACCTGGAGAGCCCTGTCCTTCACCTCTCTGTCACCTGCACCCACCAGCAGTCCCTGGAAGCACTAGCCTCTGCTGGGGGGAGGGGACAGTTGGCCACCTGTGACTTCCCAACTCGAAGTGCTAGAGACCTGCCTGGACTCTTCCCTCCAGGGCGGGGAGAGCTTTGCTCCCCCCAGGGCTGTAGGGGGCGGCCGGCAGCGGCCGGCGCCAGGGTGCGGCCAGGCCCAGCAGCGTTAGATTGGGCTGACTAAGTTCCTCAACAGGCCTCAGTTTCCTCGTCTGTCAAGCAGACATCAGTCCCGCCTTCCTCCCAAGGCTCTGTGACAATCAGATGGAAAGAGTGCTTGGGAAACTACTAGGTATTTTGCACATGTTACTGGTCATTTGGGGGGCCTGGGAGCCCCCCTCCTGGTGACAGCACATGACAGTCTCAGGAGGGCTGGAGCATTTCAGGGCAGAAGCTGGGATGTATATTTAGTTCTGAATCTCACCTTCCTAAACCTCTTCGTTGTGGGTGGGGGCTGCGAGGTGGGCTCATGCCCCTGCTCCCTTAGCTGCCGCCTGTGACACTGCCACCCCCTCCTCTTTTGGGGCTGGTGGCTCCTTCGGTTTTAACAGAATCTCTTCTGTCTTCACACTCCCGCTTTGCAGCGGACCCCGGTGCAGGAGCAGCGGGTAGGGCAGTGGGCAGGCTGAGGAGAGAGGAAGGGCTCTCTGGTTCCAGCTCCAGCCTGACTTTCGGGGGCTTTGGTCTTCATGCTCTGGCCCTGACCAGCAGCCTTCATACCAGGAGACAGAGTCAGCGGCCCCAGGACCCTAGGGGCAAGGGGTGGGAGCCGTGACCCAGAGGAGGTCAGCCTCAGGGCAGGGTGGTAACGCAGCCCCCCACCCAGAGAGCCCCTGGACGCTGACGCCAGGGGTGGTCTCGGCCTCGCTGCCCTGGGAGGTTCCCGTGCAGCCCTGCCATCCCAGGATGATCCCTCTCTCCAGGAAAGGTCATACCGCCGCGCTGACCAGGAGGACAGTGTCTGTCTGCCCGGCAGTCGGCCTGGACTGCTGACCACCATCTGGGCACGAGGTCAGCAGTGCACGGAAACTCCCCATCTCTCTCTTTGTCTTTCTTTCCTCCAGAAGTGCAGACCCTCCCTTGGGTGGCTCCTCTGATCTCCAGGGAGGGTCTTCTCACGGTAGACAGTTTCGCCTTTTTTCCGTCTGCCCACTGCCTGGCAGCCTGTTCTCCCACGGAGGCTAGAGTTGGGGAGAATAGCACCACCTGCCCCCTTTTTGCCTCCCTGAACCCCCTTCCCTGTTAGCTCCCCGGTGCTGAGAGAGAGCCTGAGTGTTGTGTGGTTTGAAGGATGTGGAGATGGGGTTTCAGTTCCTCTTTCCTGCGTCCTGCCGTGTCTCCTGGTAACACCTGGGCACCTCTGAAGGCGCAGGGCCTTGCCAGCCCTGATTCCAGAAGCGTCTGGCCGTCCGGAGTGCCTCTGGTCAGCGGGTCACGGCCAGGGTCACGGCCAGGCTCCCCGGGTGTGTGCGTGGGGCCTCCCAGGAAGCAGGGGCAGGGTTAGGGGCTCTTCTGGTCCTGTCTCTTTCTGCTCTGAATCGAGATTTATCGAGGCTGTGTTCTGGAAGATACCCTGGTGGACCAAATGGACTTGGCTCCTATTCTCAAGGAGCTTACTGTCTATTGGACAAGCAAAACATGAAGCAAAAATCATACCCAAATTACCATGCCATGTCACCGGTCAGTTCCATCTGGGGTGGGTGTAGAGTAGTGAGCGGGAACCAGGACTCCTGCCCCCAGTTACCACCAAAGGTGACTGTAAGCCCCTTCCAGTGCTCAGTCTCCACCGCTGTGAACTGCATTCTGCTGTCAGCCACAGTTCACCTTCCGAGTGCCAGACCTGCGAAAAGCGGGCGTTCTCAAAGGCACAGATGCTTGAGCAGTCAGGTACATCCCACAGCAGCCCGTGAGTGTTTGCGGGGGTGGTGGGGGAGCACTGAGCGAGGACCCTCCCTGTCCCTGCAGCTGCCAGCATCTCGCATACCTTGCTGCATGCCAGGCACTGCGCCGAGGGCTTTACCCGCACGGTTGTTCCTTCAGTGAATGGGTCAGGGCTTGCTGCTTCTACTGTGTAGCACTGACCTTTCACGTTAAAAACAAGGCCCCCTCCCCCACCCAGCGACTTTCATGTTGGCGGGTAGGCAGCTGTCCTTTGCCTCCGTGGGGCCCAGCAGCGCGTGGGTGCCTTCCAAGTGTGTATTCATCTTCTCTGTCAGTCTTTGGAGGAGGGGTCCCGCTCACCAGAACTTTGTTTTTCTTTCTGGGCCATGGTACTGTGGACCCTTTGGACAAAGTCCTTGTTATTTCTTGTGCTTCAAGGCAGGGGAACCAACCTAGAGGGCACCTAATAGCCCCGTGTCACCCCGCAAACTGATTGGGACTCCTCTAGCCTGTGTCTTGTGGGGGGGGCTGTATGAGGTAGCAGGGGGTTCACTCCGCTTTCTTAGGGCAGAGTGCGATCCGCATCTAACCTCACTGAGCCTGCCTTACAAGACGAAGACAGTGTCGTGTGCACTTAGGGTGGTTGTGCAGCTGACCTGAGGTGACGGACCTGAAGCGTTTAAAGAGTGCCTGGCAAGTAGATGATTCATGAATGGTGGCCATTATTATTAGTCCTTTTTCACTTTTATCTATCAGGGAGCGTTGTGTGGGCACGCAAAGGGCAGTTGGGGATTCCTGACTGAAAGAGTTTTTGCCCCGGGGGTGGTGATCTTTGGTGGGAGGTTTCGGGGCCCCAAGTCCTTCTATGGTCGGTGGAACTCTGTCGAGTTGAGGAAGCTCTTTGTGGTGTTGGTGGCTGGGTCGGTTTTTCGGCCTCCGCGCCTTTGCACTTACTGCTCTGTCTTCCTGGACTAGCACCCCCACCCCATGTCTGTGTGGCTAGTTCCCTCAGCTCGTCAGGTCTTTGCTAAAATAACTCTGTGAGGCCTTGCCCGGCAGTTCCATTTACAGTTGGCTTTCCTGTTTAATTTTTGTCGGTAGTCATTTTCTTTCTTTTTTTTTAAAAGATTTTATTTATTTTTAGACAGAGGGGAAGCGTGGGAGAGAGGGAGAGAAACATCAGTGTGTGGATGCCTCTTGCGTTCCCCCTACTGGGGACCTGGCCTGAAATCCATGCATGTGCCCTGACTGGGAATCGAACCAGTGACCCTTTGCTTCACAGGCCTACACTCAATCCATTGAGCCATACCAGCTCCATATCCATTTTCATCACCCCTAATGCTACGTCTGACTGTCTGTGTCTGTCTGTCACCCCAGCCACTAGAATGTAAGCTCCATGAAGGACTTTCATCCGTTTTATTGGTCAGTAACTTCCCAGCACCCAAATTCGTGTCCAGCACAGAGTAGGTGCTCAGTAAAAAAATTGTCGAGTAAATGAACAAATGCAAGAAAGAAGTTTCTCTGTTAAGCCATAGAACTAGGATTCTGAAATCACTTTGTCAAGTGGTGTCGACCAAAAGAAAGCAGATGAAATTTAACAGATTAATGCAAAACACTTACTGTGTAAGTGGGGAGTGGTTTGGTGGAAAATTCACCTGCTCATTAGAACCAGCAGGGACAGACCACACGAGGTGTGAGGCCAAAGGAGGAGGCTGGCGGTATTAACTAGTTTATTAAATAATGGTCAGGGTTTTTTCTCCTTTCTTTTAAAAAAAGATGACGTGTGTAAAATGGAACTGTGGATTGTATTGACTTGCTATCCCTCAGGGCATAAGCATTTCACTTTAACGATCGCTGATTCAGTGTAAGACTTTCACTTCCCCTCCTCAGAGGGGAAGGGACTGCCCACATGGCACAGCGGGGTCGTGGGGAGGCCACCTACTCGTGCAGGACGTGTCCACTGGGCACTCATTTCCGAGCTGATGCTGTGTCGGGTGCTGGGGATGCTGTGACACGGGGTCTGTCCTCGACCTCACCAATAGGACGTGAAGCAAGCGTTTCGACTCCAAGTCCCGCACCTTCTTGCACTCCGTCCGTGTCGCACCTCACGGTTGGTTGCTGTTCCACACGAGCCAGCAGTGCAGTAAGCTGCTGAGAGAAACTGATGCCATTCTTAGGTTGCATCAATGGAGGCAGAGCGTCCAGATCAAAGGAGGCGACTGTCCTGTGCTGCGGTACCGTGGCAGGAGGAGTGCCGTGTTCTCTTCTGGGTTGTGGGGCCTGCCTTCTGGGGCGCCTCAGTGGTCTGGCCAGCCCCCTGATTTCCTGCTGTTGTCCCTACAGCCAGGTGGGCACCACGGCAGGGGCTGAGCCGCCCTCATGGAAGGGAGAGGACCTTACCGGATCTACGACCCTGGGGGCGGCGTGCCTCCGGGAGAGGTGTCCACAGCTTTTGAGCGCCTAGTGGAGGAGAATTCCCGACTAAAGGAAAAAATGCAAGGGATAAAGATGTTAGGTAAAGCGGACCCTGCACCGTGCCCACAAGCCTCCTCCCCGTAGCCTGCGATGCCAGCTGGCTCCACCCACGCCACCCTCTGTCCTTCCTGGCTCCTGCCCCCCAGCTGTGTCTTTATGTACCTCCGTAGAATGGTGACCGCATTCCCAGCCCTGAGTCCCCAGAACCCGGGAACCATGAGGACAGAGCTCAGAATACCTTGAGGGACTGAGAGGGAGGTGTGGGACCAGGAAAAGGGAGCTAGAAGGCCCATTTTGTGGACATGGAAACAGTGGCCTTGTTTTCCGGAAGCACCAGAGAGGGGGAAAACCGACATTACCAGGGCACCTGGGGTTCATTCCTGCTAGAGCAGGCTGGGGAAGGGCGCTTGATCTGTTCTCCTGGCTTGTGCTCAAGCTGTCCCCACTGCCCAGAGCAGCCCCACCTGCACCGCAAAATTGAGTCTTCCCTGTCCGTCAGCACCGGCTCAGATGCCGCCTTCTCCTCCGTGAGAGACACTTGTTGATTTCCCTGTGCAGAGGGGTCTCTCTTTCCTCCAAACTCCTAAGACTTCCTTTTCCTTGCTGCCACCTTCTCCAGTCTTAAGCTTTGGGGGAGAGCTCAGTTGCCCAATTTTCCAAACGCTTTCTTCTTGCATCGCAGACTGCTGCTTGGAATGGCAGATTGGGGAACAAGGAGTTGGAACTGCTCTTCTCCACTTGTGGGGGAAGGAGAACTGAAGCCCAGAGGGGTGGGTGTTATTGAGGGTCTCGTCCCTTCATACTGGCCCGGACTGGATGCAGGCTGTGGGTGGCCCCTGGGCCCCGATGGTGGGTTTCAGAGAGCCCTGGCTTTCTGTGGAGTCCTGGCCAGCTGTGGTGGGAATGAGGCAGCAAGAGGGGGCCAGGGGCCAGGAGTTCGTTCTAGATTCCCCTCCACTCCTTCTTCCCTGATTGCAGGGCCCTCTTCCTCATTAGCCTGTTTCCAGTTGTGGGCTGGAATGATGTGTGTCCCAGTTGGCCTACAAGACAATGGTGGGAGTCAGGCCCAGGGCCTAGAGTGTCAAAAGCCAGGCCAAAGCAGGCTCAGGGGCATGGGGTGGGGAGAACCTGTGCACAGAGCTGAATAATTCCTCTTGCTCCTCCTTTCCCCGTTCTTTCCAGGCGAACTTCTGGAAGAGTCCCAGATGGAAGCATCCAGGCTGCGGCAGAAGGCAGAGGAGCTGGTCAAGGACGACGAGCCGCTCCCACTGCCATCTCCCACTTTGGCCTCCTTTGACCACCTGCCCGAGCTCACAGGTCCAAGGGGACCCCGGGGTGTCCTTAGCCTTTCCTTGTGCTCCCAACTCCCTGCACTCTCAGCAGGGGACTGCCTTCTTGTTTAGAAGCCCACATCTCCTTCCTTCACCCTTGGGCCACAGGCCATCCTCTCAGTCATGATTGGGATGGGATGTCCCCAAATGGCTGGTGACTCAGCACTCTGGAGGCCCCGGCAGACATTAGTTATGGACCACAGCAATCCCCTGCATCCGGGATGTGGCCTTGCATGTTTATCAGCCTATTTATTTAGCAAATATTTAATGAGCAGCTACTGTGTGCCAGGCAGAGGGCTCTAGGCATCTACTTAGAGTCACTCAGGGGTGGCGTAGGAGTCGAAAGCTCTCTGGACTGGCCCCCCCCTTCCATTTTATAGCTGGGGAAGCTGAGGCCCGTGGCAGAATCTGGCCTTGCCTCTTATCCTACTGTAGTGCATTTCAGGTGTAAGTGTACACACGTTATCTACTAATGACAAGTGCTGACAGTGACTAGAGGTTAAAGTCCTATGTGTGGTCACCGTGCATTCCTCAGGTGTGTCTCCGAGTCCAGGGTAAGGGCCTGGGACTCGGGGAAAGGTCGCACACCTGGGGCTCAGGGGCCTCCTGCTGCAGCCCCGCCCACATTCTCAGCCCAGGCCAGCGCGCAGCCTTCCACCTGGCTGGTGGTCACTGACCTCAGGGCCCGCTGTGCGGCAGTCAGTGGGCGTCTCCAGCCTCCGCTTCTCCCTGCGGCCATGTTGTCTGAGTCCCAGCTTGGCGCCAGGTCCATCTCTGGGTGTGATGTGCAGCTACCCACAAGGGACTCCCTGTGACAAGAGCTGCAGGGGGTTGGGGAGGGACAGCCAAGTGTGAGTCCTGGGTTTTCTGTTGCTGGCTGCGTGTCTGTGGGCCAGTTGGTGACTTTTCTAGGCCTTGGTTTCCTTACCTTTAAACTGAGAATTCAGAGCTGCCATGAGGACTGGCTGAGATAATAGAATAATACTTTGTGAATTGTAGACGGTCCTCCTTGTGATGACTGAGGCAGGTCCGGGGACGATGGTCTGTCTGCCCAGGTTTTGTCTCCAGTGTCCCAGGGCCAGTCGTTTCCCCAGCCTCCCTGTCCCTGATGGGGCCACCTCCAGGATGTTTCCCAGACTCATGGGAGGAACTCTGAGAGCTCCTTTGCCTGGGGCCGACCTCCGGGACAGAACCTGGGCTTCCCCCTTCCCTGCCGCTCATTCATGTTTTCTCAATTCTCTAGGAAAAGATGCGAATAACCCAGCACCTCCTGCTGACCCTGCACACCCCAGTAACAAGCCAGAGCCTGTCCCCAAACCTCCATCCAGTGTAAGTTGCAGCTGGTGTCCTGGCCGAAAGTTGCCTGGGCTTCAGGGTCCCTTTGACACACACAAGGGCATGACCAGAGAGGGCAGGGGCCTGGGAGCCCAGAGTCCGACTTGCTGGCGGATGTTAGGCAAGCCAATCTCAGCCTCTGTGGGGTGGTGGTTTCCCCACTTTTAAACAAAGGTCACAGTTACAATTACCAGGAGACCCTGGTGTGCACAAGAAGTTTCTCCCGCACACCAGGCTGCGTGACGTGGAGCGTGTACTGACTGTGAGCAGCGCAAGGAAAACGGGTAGAAGTGACGGGGAACCCACTTCCTCACAGAGGCTCAGAAACTGCCTGGTATGGGTTTGCCTCTAGAAATTATACTTGGTGTCCTGGGGTTGGAAGGGACTCAGGGATTGTGTCACTTGGCATCGTCGCCCTGCGGATCAGGTCTAGAGTGAGAGGAGTGGTTTCCCAGGTCAGGGAGACAGCAGGGGAAGGATAGAAGTGAAGGGAGACTTTTTTTAGGGCAGGGCCAAGATTCAGAGCTGGCTTCTTGGTGGCCGTGAGGCTCAGCAAAAGCTGCCAGTGGAGATCCTCCCAGCCATGCTCATCCGCTGGCCCTTTCCGAGGGAAGGCCGACATCACCTCTGTAGTCCAGGGGCAGTGCCTGGGCTTTTCCTTGTTCCCTGTTAGGCCCTGGAGTCAGAGCAACTCCAGAGCCGGTTGCTGGTTCCAAGGGACCATCAGCCTATCTGTTAACCAGTCTGTTCTGCTGGGATTGGCTGAGAGATGAAAAAAAAGACTGGGAATCCTGGACCATCCCGGATTTGGATGAATCCTTTAAAAATTCGCATTTGTTGACACATCTTCGGGATTTATGCCAGATCTGGGTTCTCTGGAGTGGATCTGGCAAGGCTGGCACAGGACCATTCCGCAGTAGCCACACTGACCGCTGTCTGTGTTATCCAGGTGACCAGTTGGTGACACCAGGGCCTGAGAGACAGCTCCGGCGCTGCAGCAGGAATGTGGGCTTTGCAGGCCTTGGGTTCGGTCCCTACTTTTTGCACTAAGTGCCCTCAGTTTCCTCTTCTAGTCGAGAGGCTATAACCGTATCACCATACTGGAGTTCCTGAAAATATTTTAAAAGTGCAAATTAAAAAAGAAAAAAAGGCCTACAGTCTAGTGGGTTAAGATCAGCTAGCCCAGTGTCCCTGTGTCATAGAGGAGGAAACCGGCCACGGAGGGGAGGCGAGCTCACAGGGAGTGGGCCGCGGGCAGACTTTCTGTGAGCCCTGCTTCTCGGTTCCAATGAACCGGGGAGCTCAGCTCCCCCGCCCCCCCCGCGTGGAGGGGCTGCCGGTGACCTGGATGTGGGAAGAGATGTTGTCCTTCCATCTCTGCCCTGCCGCTCTCAGCCGTGGCTTCTCACACAAGGGGCGAGGGGTTCTTCTCCCAGGCAGCCCCTAACCGCCTTTCTGACAGGGCACCTCGTCCGAATTTGAAGTGGTCCCTGCCGAGGAGCAGAATTCTCCACCACAGAGCAGCGGCCGCTCCAGAAATGCGGTGGTGAGTGGATGGCAGATCTCTGGGTGCATCCCGTGTCTCTTCTCTGTTTCAGTCACCTGCCCTGGGCGAGAGGCACATGGCCCACTGAGGTCCCTTGGGCACTCTGAGGTCACTTGGGGACATACAGGGGGCCAGAGCAGGGGATGCTTCTCACTCGCCTATGCAAATCCCTTGCCGGTGACTTCCCCTACTTGGGTCACACAGTTGCCCGATCATTGTGAAAGCCTGGCCACATCACCGGCCCCTCTGGCTTTCTCTGAATTCCTGGCACCTCCGCACACTTTGACTCAGCCTCGGGCCGGTGGGAGACAAAGGGTCGGGGAGGCCCAGAGCAGGGTGCGGCAGATGATTTACTTTTGTGCAGGCTGAGAGTATTAGGATGGTTTGGTGTTTTATCTCCTGGAAACTTCTGTCCTCTTGTCCTGTTCTGTCCTTGAGGGCCCTGAGAAGCTGACACAGGCAGCAAGAACCTTCTGCTCAGAAGTTATTTGCTCTATGACCTTGGACCTGTAACTTCATCTCATTAATAAGTTCCTCCTTAGCCCCACCATGTGCCTAGTCTGTGCTGAGCAATGAAAAGATGGCCACCCTGCCCTCCCAGGAACTTATAGGCTAGTTGGACAGATCAGAGGATGAAGCATTCGCCACCTGCAGCCCTTCGTGTGGAGAGGCGGGAGGGGTGAATGCAGAGTCAGAGAAGCAGTGTGCTCTCCCATCAGAACAAGGTGCTAGCAGTGTCACATAGGCACTCACTGAACTTCAGGAAGCTTCACTTCCGGCCCTGGCTCTGCCGCTGACCCCTGGGCGACTCTGGGCAAGTTCCTTACCCCCCAGACTGAAGTCTTGGTTTCCCAGACTGAACCCTGAGGCTCCCCGTGGCCCCCCTGAAACTTCCGTACATATTTAGGGCGGGCTGCGAGAGGAGCTGGAATGTGGGCAGGGCCAGGAAGGATGAGCACAGGGACACTGGGAGCAAAGTCTCAGTAGGTGAGGCTCCTACCAGAGGAGGGTGGGGTCTCAGGTGGTGGCAGGAGAGCTGCGCCCGCGGAAGTTAGCTGTAAGGTGCCACTGTGGACCTTCGGGCACGGTTTTCCCATCCTGAGGCCCTGTCTCTGGAAGGGTTGTTCTAGGCACAGGAGTGATGGAGAGAGATCAACTGATTATCGAAATTGGACTATCTTGCCCACAGTGTACTTCTTGCTTGTATACTCTACTGGATTGGGATTCTTTGAAATATCTAGAGCTATAATTCTTAACCTGTCTTGAATCTCGGGTCCTCTGAGAAGCTGATGAATGCTTGGGCTGTTCCCCGGAAGACACATGTATAGACAGAAAAGGCGGTTCTGGTCTCTGCGTGGCTCCCTGGTCAGGACTCCCTGAGCCCAAGAGGCAGGACTGTACCTAGAGTGAGACCAATTTCCTGGGCTTGCTGCTGTCACTTATCGGCTGACCCTCCTAGGAACCCTGAGAGACAGAAGCGGGGGAAGGGGTGTGTGTCCATCCACAGAGGAGGATTCTGGGGCCCAGTGATGAGTGATCACCCTCAGGCACTTGGCAAGGCCCGCGTGTGGGAGGAGGGAGAACGGCTTCACTGCTGGCGAGCCAGCCGGTGGCCTGGGAGCCCCTGGTCCTGCCCTGTGAGTCAGTCCCAGACAGGGAACCCGTGTAACTGGAGAATTTCCCTGGGCCGAGCTGGGATCAGAGGGGGAAACTGAGTCATGAGGAATGGGGAAGCAGAGGGCGGATGGCCAGCGATGCCTACTCAGCCTTTGTAAAGACTGGTCCTTGCCCCCTCCCCAGGATCTGGGCCCCCTGCCCCACGAGGACAGCAACCTGATGCTGCACCTGCAGCGCCTGGAGACCACCCTGAGCGTGTGCGCGGAGGAGCCGGACCACAGCCAGCTCTTCACCCACCTGGGCCGCATGGCCCTGGAGTTCAACCGGCTGGCCTCCAAGGTGCACAAGAATGAGCAGCGCACCTCCATCCTGCAGGTGAGGCCGGCCAGGGGAGGGCCCCCACTGTGGGTCAGCGCGCTTCTTTGTCCACCTCTTCCAGCTCTTGTTGGGAATCCCTGGGTCTCTGGGGACTTCCGAGAGTGACGCTGACATTGGGGGCCGATTTTGGGCTTCTCGTCTGGGGTGGTGAGCAGGGTAAGGAAGTTGTGGGAAGGAATGAGGAAGAGGAAGGAAATTGGGAAATACGGGGTAGGCAGTGCAGATTTCACGGTTGGGGTACCCTTGGGCCGGGGATGCAGGCAGCTGGCAACGGCCCTGCCTGGTTTTCCACAAACTGGTGGGGAGCAGTGGGGAGCAAAGGCATTATTCCTACTTCAGAGATGGAGATGTAGCCTTTGAGAGGTGGGTTTTTTGTTTTTTGGTTTTGTTTTTTGCCTAAGGTTGCCCAGCTGGTAGATGGTGTACTTGGGATTTGAACGTCAATCTGTCATATTCCAAAGGCCGCGCTCTCAGCCCCCATCCCAGCTTGCCTCCCCAGCAGAGGACGCTTCCTCTCATGACCCTCCCTGTGCCATGGGAATGAGGTCAGATTTACTTCCCAGGCCAGCCCTAGCCTTGAAATCATAGGGTCCTTGGTTGGAGGAGTACATGTTGCCAAATGACCTCGGGACGAATCACGTATCCTCTCTGTCCTTCACTGTCCCTATCAGTAACGCAGTGCTGAGAATGCCTACTTCATGGTGCTGCTGTGAGTGTTAAGTAAAGCCCTTGGTACAGACCAGAACCAGTAAGCATTTGAAAAATAGTCCCTGTTAAGATTTGATCATGACCAGACATTTGTTCTGGGCAGGGGATTTTAGTCTTGAGGGTTTGGGGGTAAGGAAGTACAGATGGTGAAACTGAGGCTCCCAGAGGACCTCTCAGGGCCAAAGCACCTGCCCCTTTGGTTGACGGAACTGTTCCTCCCTCCTGTACTCTCCTACACCAGTCACCAGCCTAAGGCCTCATTCATATCTGCAAACATTCAAGCGCCCAGTAGATAGGGGAGAAGTCTTACTGTACGCAACCTTGAGAAAGGTCTGGGCTGATTGGCAAGAGCAGGAGGGGCATCCAGTCTGGAGACACAGTGTGAGGAGAGGTGTGGGGAGCAGAGGGCTCCAGAGAGAGCGCAGGAGCCCCCTTCCACCTCCAGTGAGGGGCGAACTGGGAGGCAGGGCTGGAGAGCCAGCCTGCAGGAGAGATTCCCAGATGTCAGCCAGGCTTAGAGGCATCAAAGCTGAGCTAGGGGAGGGGGGGTGGGGGGGGGGGGATGGAACCTGGCACATCACATGGATGAGATCATTTTCACTGTCATCTTTTAGGGTTTGAGATAGGGGTCCATACTGGGCCTTACAAAAGGGGATCCTGTCAACCTCTGCTATTTTTTTATATCAGGCCTCTGTTGGTTTCATTCTCAGCTCTTACCAGAGTTTATAGTAATTTTATTTTATTAGGTGGTTTTTACTTTGTGGGTTTTTTTCCTTGAACTTCCTGCTAGACTATAAGCCTCACAAGAGAGGAAGGTACCTTGTCTGTCACAGTCGTCACTGTGTTCCAGTGCCTGGCACTTAATAGGTGCTTAATGCACATTTGGTGAACAAACGAATGAATGAACAAACGAACTGACGAACTCACAGTTGAGCTCTCTTAGCCCCTTTGATGGAACATGATGACGTTTGTGACGGCCTTTCTCCATCAGCTGCTTTGTGCCCGGGGCATTTTCCCAGAAACTTGGAAGAAATAGCCCTCTAGCCTAGAAGGGTGGACAGCACATGAGGCCACGTCCCGAACTTCCCTTAGTGGCCAGGAGCAGGACGTTCTGTTCCGTGGAGGCCCCGCCCAGGGCTGTGGCATCCTGGGTATTTGCCCCACCTGTGGGTAGAGGCACACTCCTCCAGTTCCTCTTCATTCGTTTGTTGATTCGTTTCTTGGTTTACTGGACAAGCATGTCCAGGCCGGGTATGGCGCAAGGCCTCTGCTAGGCACTGGAAGTAGTTACAGTAGTTTTCTCTGCCTTGGACCCCTTGTGTCTGACCACCCCCAGGTTTCAGGCTTCAGTGCCCTCCCAAGTCTCTCCTGTGGACCCAACAACTCTGAAATCCCTCAGGAGAATGTAAAAGTTTTCTCTCGTTCCACATGTTTAGTAGCCCGTATATCTCGTGGCCTTTGGAGTATGAGGCAGCCGCAGGCACTGGGGAGGAGAGACTAGAAGGGACACATGACTTGCACTCATCATTCCTTGGCCAGAACTAGTCACATGATTGCATGGAGTCCCAGGAAAATGGAAATGGAAGTGGAAGGGAACAGGTGGGCCATCTGGTAAATTTCAGAGTCTCTGCCTCCTGCCCAGCTCACTGCCATTACCTCCCCTCTCTGCTCTTACATGATGTTTGAGGGAGGGAGGGGAGCGGGGAAGGAGACTAGGTGAGGGCCTGCCAGATGGAGTTTGGTCTTCTTGGTGGTTCTTAACAGCTGTGCAACCTCATGCAAATTAATTCACCTGCATTAGCCCACTTTGAAAATAGAGATGAATTATGTAGCTTTGGGGACGCTGCGAGGCTCCGATGACACACTGAGTGGAAGAGCACCCAGCCATGTAGCTGGCACGGTTAGGTGCTCATTAAGTACTTGTCGAAAGACTGAGAACTTAGTAAAGACACAGTGCAGCACCATTACTATGGTTGTAGCCCCTGTCCTGTCCTCCAGCATCAGCCTGCACTAGGGGTGCACTCCTTTCCTTCCCTCACCCTCATCTACCCCTCTGCCCTGCAGACCCTGTGCGAGCAGCTTCGGAAGGAGAATGAGGCTCTGAAGGCCAAACTGGACAAGGGCCTGGAACAGCGGGATCAGGCTGCCGAGAGGCTGCGGTAGGTCCAGGCTCCCAGAGCCAGGGTGAGAAGTGGGATGGCCAGGAGGAGTGGGTGGTGCATGGCACTGACTTCCGGGCTGAGGGCTCTGGGGTCGGTGCTCAGAGCCCTGCTTTGGATGTCTCTTGGTTCTTCTCCTTGGGTACCTTGGGGAGTGTCTGTTTATAAAGTGCCTTGAGAACTTCAGAAGCAGGTCTGTGCAGATTGCACTTCTTGTGAACTTGCCCCTAAATTTAGACTGCTAACTGCTGCTGGCTGGCTGTAGGAGAGAGGGCTCGGGACTTTGCCCCCCCTGCTGGTCATCATTCTGTTTTGCAGTTTCCCTGAGAACAGTCAGGGCTGGTGAGTCCCAGACCTGATTATGCATCAGGGTCACTGAGGGTCAGGAAGGCATACAAGTGTACACTCCGACCTTCCCTGCTCTGCCAAGATTCTGAGCCCATGGGGCTGAGGCAAGACCTAGCCATTTGCATTTTCCAAAGGGCCTCTGATTTTGCTGTGAGCTGGCCCAGGATCACCTTTGAGAAGCACTGATCTTGACCGTCAGAACTCAAGAGTGCCCTTAGAGATCATGAGGGCTAAACCATGACCTCATTGTGCGGAGGGAGACAGTCTCAGAGACAGGCACGTGAGGTCCAGGTGGAGTAATGTGCCACCACTGAGCCTCTGTCCACTTCGAATCTGCATGCATTTATTTCCAAGCAGTTGGAGTCTTACCCAAAACCTGGGCTGGAGAAAAGACTCATGACTACAAGGCAAGAGCCAGGACGCTGCTGTGTGACCTGGGGAAAGCCCCTTTACCTCTCTGTTTTTCTGTTGTCACATGGAAACCCAGCTGGCAAACAGAACTTAAACACTTTCCACATTTCAGTCACACCAGAATCTGTATCACCACTTTCCCTTCCTATGGGGGGTTCGAACGTAATTGGAGAAGATGTACTTTCCTCGCCAGAGTGTGGTCCAGGGTTATTTAATAATACGGGTTTGGTTGTGTCCTGGAAGATCTGTGTACAGGCTTCCCACTGTTGGGGAAACCCTGCTGCTGATTGGGGACTTCTGGGGAGGCCCACAGATTGCCCCCAATGGCTTAAGGACGTTTTTTGTGGTTCCAGCCGAAGAAGGTTTCAGGGCTCACCTCAGTCCTTTCACCCCAGGACTCAGATGAGTAGTAGGTCCGAGGCCCCTGGCCTCCCCAACCCATTGCCAGCACGTGACCTCTGTTCGCCTTCGACCCAGGGAGGAGAACATGGAGCTCAAGAAGTTGTTGATGAGCAGCGGCAAGGAGGATGCCTGCGGGCAGCTGGGCTCGCCCAAGGTGGAAGGCACGGGCGAGAAGGGGGCAGCCGGACAGCCACAGGTACGTGGTCGGAAACGCCTTCCACACACATCCCCGGGGGCTGGTGCTTAGCCCCCGTGGCTGCCCCCAGTGGCAGTGAGCTCACTGCCTCCTGCTGCAGCCAGCTCCTCCGCTCAGAGGTTCCAATTGTTGGATGGGTTTTCCTTGGCTTGGCCAGACAATCCACCCCCCCGGGAGCTTCCACTGCTCAACCCTCACTCTGCCTTCAGCCACACTGAGCATCCATTCCGTGACACACTCAGGCTGCCTGCCCCGACCGTGGCTGTGTGCCCCCTCACAAGCCCTGTCTTCTCCAGGCTGAATAGCTCTAGTACCTCCAGCCATTGCTTACAGAACGTGGCGGTGACTCCTTTGCTCAGTGTGAGCACATTCCCTAAACACATCCTGGTTTGTCAAGGTCGCTCTTACCAGGTGGCTCCCAAACGTCAGTTTAACCTCTCAGATATTTTGGGCAGAATTAGGATGTTTGTTAGCCTCTCAGAGGACTCTTGCTAAGTTGCTGTGATTGTGTCCTGGAGCTTCCGACATGGAGCAAGGAGGGCATGGCCCGGTACTGCCGTCAGGCCAGCCCACTTGCCCCCTGCTCTCGCCCTGGCTCACATCCAGTCCCTGGGCAGGAGCTGGCTCTTCCTCCCCTTGCCTGGCCGTGCCTTTCCCCTGGCTGCAGTACAGGACTTGATGTCTTTAACAAGCCCCATACCTGTGTGGTACTTGTAATCATCCTAATAACTTAATTACTTGTTACTGAAGTTTTCCCAAGGCTGGTAAATCCATTGTCCTACTTGGACCTCTGCCCCACCTGTAAGGTAGGAAGGCCAGGGCTATTACTCCATGACCCAGCCATGCCAGGAGGCTGGAAGGGGTGACCTTGTGCCCTCCTGCACCCCTGGCTGTCTGGCAGACCTGGGTCCAGCAGGGAACTGCGCTGAGAAGCGGCCTTCTGAATCCTGCCCAAGGAGCCCTCTCTGCTTCACTTACCCTCACGTCGGAGCCTGCCCTCTTGTCCGCCCTCTTGTGGAAGTGACTTGGAGACTCCCCTAATCTCCCCTGGGTTCTTGGGGTTCTTTGGGCAGGCCCCTTCATTTTTCCAAAGCCCTTTAATACCAACTCATCACACTGGACTCCCTGGAAAGGCCAGATGTTCTTACCGTCCCGCCCTGTGGGAGGTCCTGTGGGAGGCACGCCCAGCGGTGGCACCCATGCCCGAGCCACGCGTGGGTGGGATGCTGCTGCCGCCCTGAACAAGTTACATACGCCCGCTGGCCTCAGTCTCCTCCTCTGCATAATGGAGATACTAACCTGTGTCAGAGGGTTCAGGGATGTGACGCCTAGAGGTTTAGTGCCTGGCCTGTGGCCAACCGTCAGTCAACATTAGCTGTTGCTCTTAGTGGCAGATTTGGTGCCAGCTGCCAGGCAGTCTGACTCCTCTCTTCTTTGTGGAGGTTAAGAGTATACCCTCTGGGAGCCTGGCACCGCCTTTTCCTCCTTCCCCAGTAATTTTACCCGCAGTGCCTACTCCAGGAGGGCCCCCGCCCCCCCACCCACCCCCACCCCCGCCAGCCTGCTCCCTGTACCCCTGTTCTGTGGTGTGCTTACAGACCTTAGCCTGCAGGGGGCACTTGAGCCTCCCGAGTTCTGCCCTTAGGGCTCACTCCATGCCTTCAAGTCGTACGCAGCCTCGGTTCAGTGGACTAGAAAACGCAGCACTGGTAGTAACCAAACCGATGACTTTGCAGGTCTCACCAGTTTTCCATTCGTGTTCTTCTGTGCCCGGATCCATTCCAGGTCCCACATTGGATCTAGCTGTCACGACTCTTCAATCGCCCCCACTCTGTGTCAGGTCCCCGTGGCCCTGTGTCTCTCATGAGCTTGGCACTTTGGGGTTCACTGGCCAGGTGTTTGTAGAATGTCCCTCCATTTGGGTTCCCTTGGATGCATTCTTATGATTGGGCCGAGGTAACGGACTTGGGCAGGAACCACAGGGGTGACTTTGAGCCCCTCCTGGTGCCCCAGGGCAAGGCTGTGTGAGGCCTGTGTGTCTTGCTACCTCCGACCTGGATTGCAGGGCTGAGGAGTGGCTGGCAGGTTCCTCTGTACAAAGTGGCATGTTTTCTCTTCATAATTAATACTTATTTTTGAGGAGAGACTTGTAGGCTGTGCAAATGTCATGCCTCTCCTCACACATTCGCCCGCTGATTTCGGTGTCTGGGGGAGTCTCGCTGCAGTGACTGCGGTAACTAATATTACGATGGCCGTTCTGCGTGTCCCCCCTGCCATCTACAGCCACCGATTAGAATTCCTCATCAAGGAAAGTGCTCCCTTCTCCTCACTTCTGATTAAGCTATTTCTAGCAGTGTGGACTCAAGGGTATTTTATTTTATTCTTTGGGTTAGAATCCAATACTGTCATGATTTATTTTCTCGTTCTCCTTGTTCCATCTTCACTATAGGAAGCTCTTTCATGTTGTCTCCGATGCCCATTGGACATGCCATTATTGTTATTATAAAGCACTTTCTTACTTTCTGGCACCTTCTGGCACCATAAGATGCTCCAAACCCATTCCCTGCCCCAGCCCTGGAATTAACCACTCGTCCAAGGAGCTCTGTTCCTTTTCCATTGGAGAATGGTGTTGAGAAGCCAAGATCTGGGCCCTCGGTGTGCTCGTTGCTACTGGAGTGTCACTGCTTTAGGCCCTCTCAGGGGTCAGAGCCAGAAAATGTGTGTACACGTACTGGTCATAAATAGGCACATCTTTATTTCTGTGTCTTTCTAAAACCATTTTTAAGTAATTATTTCATGGGACATTTAAAAACAGGTCACTCTTGCCGTCCAGGCCGGAGGCTTGTTGGCTGATGTGGGGTGGGGGAGAGGAGGCAGCTGGCAGTACTTAGGGCTGCAGCCTGAGCCGGGGAGAAGAGGCCGTGGGGAGGCGGGAGGAGGACCTAGGAGCCACTGTGGGTCAGGGAGGGCGAGTAATGATCTCGGGACTTCCCCAAGGGAGCTTCCATGGCGGGGTGTGTAGCAGTGTCCTGGTGGGTGGGAGGGTGGAGCGGTGTAGACTAGGCGAGGGGCCCTAGAGGAGCTCTTAGTGGTAAAAGAACAGTTATTTGAGCCTTCGCTGAAGGCCCCTCTCTGTTTCTCCCCAGGCTAGTGTGGCAGCAGGCAAGATCCCAGAGGTGGGAGCCTTGAGTGCCACTGAGAAGAAGGTGAAGATGCTGGAGCAGCAGCGCACAGAGGTAGGTGGGCTCCTGGGAGCCACAGGACAAAGGCCCTCCCTTGGCTCTGCCATGACGACCACTGAACTGTCTGGTCATGGGAGAGACTAGCTGTCTCGTTCTGGACTCTTGTCTCTTGGATCAACCCCCTTGCCCACAAGGGTCACTGAGGAGGTGGCATTTGTGGCACAGCCTAAAACTGTTGACAGGGGAGGGGTGGTTTAGGAAGGCTGAACCCTGGTGGTAGGAAGAGGTGGTGATAAGGTAGGTGAGTTTCAGCCTCAGCAGTGGGGAGCCTGGAGTTCATCTGTCACCACGCTGCTGGTTGAGGGAGGGACTGTCACAGCAGGAGAGATCCCATGCCTTTTCGTGGTGCCCCTTCTAACCAGCTGAGAGTCTCCAGAAGTTGAGGTCTTCCCTTCCATCTCATACATGCTCCTCCATCTCCCACCCCTAGGCCATGCTTCTGGGCGGAGCCCAGTCCTCTCTGTCCTCTTGGCCGCTCCTTTCCACGGAGCTCCGGGTTCCTCTCCAGGTCCCTGGGCCTTCCGGCCCCCCTGGTCCGCCGGCAACATTTGGAAGTCAGGCCTCTAGTCATTTGCTTAGTGCACATTAATTTTAGCTTTGGTTTATATTGCTGTAAGGTATTTTTTTCCCATTACAAAAGTAATATAGTGTTCATTATAAAAGGATTTGAGAATCTCACCTCCTAAAGAAGACCACAATTAATAACAACTTGTTACATGTTCCTTGTTTCCTTCTATGTACTTACTGATGTATAATCTGTTTTTTAAAGTAGAAGAAGGTTATACATACTGCAGTGCAAATTTTTTTCTTGAAAATAAACTATCTTTGAGGGTATATATAAGTATATACATATATAAATACACCTTCAACTCTGAGTACTTTTTATCCTGTGTGTCTGAACTTGGGATGCCCTTTCCCATTATTCTGTTAGTTTATGATGCAGGGCTGTCTCTTGTCCCTGAGGAATTACTACATTGACAAGAGAGGCCCACCAGACAAGCTAGGTTTAACACTTTCAACACAACCTCACTCAGATTTTTCATAAAAACATTTAATACCAGTCTTAAAACATTTTAAACCTTTACTTTCTTAAATATCTCAAGAAAATCTAATTTTTAAAATCAGATGCCTTCAGGTGTGTGTTACATGACTGCACACGGAAGGCAGTCACTGTTTCTGTGCCTTGGTGTTCGTCTCGCTGTACTGGCAAGGACAGAGATGGCGGATGACAAAGGGGCGTTCTGGGCAGCACCGAGTTGCTGGGAAGCGAGGGACTGAGGCAGCGTGAAGCGCTGCTCGGGACGCTGGTGTGCGTGGACCCGGGCCTCTGTGGTCCTGTCTGCTTAGCCCCTTCTGACCCCCACCTCTCCCCACAGCTGCTTGAAGTGAACAAGCAGTGGGACCAGCATTTCCGGTCCATGAAGCAGCAGTACGAGCAGAAGGTAATGTGGGAGTTGTGGGAAGCCAAGGCCAAGGCTGCGCCCGGGTTCTCAGCTATTGTGGGCGCATCCTCTCGTCCTGCCTGCTGCTTCCTTCTCAGCAGCTTTGAACCTCGGACAGTCACCCTCACGCACCCCACCCTCTGCCTCTGAACCCAGATCACTGAGCTGCGCCAGAAGCTGGCGGATCTGCAGAAGCAGGTGACTGACCTGGAAGCTGAGCGGGAGCAGAAGCAGCGTGACTTTGACCGCAAGCTCCTCCTGGCCAAGTCCAAGATTGAAGTGGAGGAGGCAAGTGTGACTGCTGCGCCCTGGGTTCAGCTCCAGGAGGCCCATTCCTTTCTGCTCATTGACCAGGAGTCAGTGGGGTAAAGGAGGAGGAGCAGGAGTAGGGAGACGGGTTCCAGCTCTGGCTCTGGCGCTGCAGGGCTGTGTGGCTGTAGACGAAAGCGCTTTCCGGCCCCATGCCTTAGTTTCCCTTCTAAACGTGGAGAAGATTGAATTAGCTCTTGCTTTTGTATTTTCTTACTTTCCTTCAGAAGAACTTTTTGTTCAGTTGCAGTCTTACCGGCTTGGGAAGCACAGAATATAAAAGAGAGAGCAGGCTGTGGTGCAGGGGGGGCGGGGGCAGGAAAGTGGGGTGCTGTTGATTGTTTCCAGCTGTGCTGGCTCTTGGACTGGGGGGCTGTTGCGAGAAGAACCTTCTCGATTGGTTCACCCTCTCATTGTTCCTCAGAGCACACCCTGGGCTCTGTGCTGGGTGCAGGGACTCTGCCGCACAGTCCAGTCCCACCTTTGAGGGGGAGGAGATGCTAAACAATGGGTTAAGGAAGCAAACAAGTGGAAGGGCATTAAGTATTAAGTACTGCACAGAAGTTGTTATGGGGTCAGGGAGAGGGCAGAAAGAGGAACCAGATTTCATTCTGGGGGGCCAGGAATGCATCGCCTGGCAGCGGCTTGTGACTGAAACCAGCCAGGGCCCTGCAGGGTCCTGTTACAGCTAAACGGGGAGAGGCCATTTGACCCCCAGACTCGGGGAGATTTTATGTCACAGTGTCTTCCCTTTCGTGGGAACTGGGCCCGGGCTGCTGCTGTTTAGCTGGAAAGTGGACATTTTCAACACAGATAGCATTTCAGAGTCCCCTGTCATCGGAATGTGACACCCAGGGGCCTGATCTGGGCTGTCAGCCTGCCTCAGGGACCGCCCCTCCCCGCGAACGTGAGGATTAGGGAGGGCACTGCCTATCTTATCTCTGAGTGCTGTCACATGGAGTGACTGTCGGCCAGACCCCTGGTTCAAATGGGTAGGTGGATCTGACAGCACCCCTCAGCTGAGGGACAGCGCGGCTGGCCCCACAGAGAAGGGCAGAAGCCGTGCTAACCCTGGAGCCTCCGCAGCGGGAGTCTGGGCAGGGCCGCAGGTTCTGACCGAGGCCGCCCTCCCGTTCCCAATACTTCCTCTGACGTGCACAGCGAGAGAACACACCTGCGCCAGGAGCCCAGGTCTCCAGCCCCAGCTCACTGTGTCGCCTGGGTTAAGTCACCTCCCCACCCTGTAGTCATTTCCCGTCACATAAGGGGGCTAGGACTTGGTGCTCTCGACAGGCCAATCCCACTGTGGCCCTGCGCAAGGAAGAAGCCCTGATTTTTCCAGAGTGTGGAGGCAGTGCTTCCACCTTGAGGCTTTCCCTGATTCCATCTCGACTGTAGTGCTGTCTCTTCTGACTTCGCAGTACTGTTTCTCAGTGGAGAACACTTTCTGCCTTATGCTGCAGTTAAGTCTTTGAGTGTCTTTTCTGGGTTCAGAGACTAAGAGCAGGGAGGTCCTTTAGAGTCTCAGTGGTTCTCACGTTCGTGTGTCACAGAAGATGCCTGTGCAAATCTGGTGGAAACTATGGCATTTCTCCCTAGAAAACTGCACAGAGGAAATTTGGCATTCAGTTTTGAGGCTCTCAGACCTCCTGAAGCCCATGTGTGACTCGTGTCCAGAAGCCCTTACCTATGGCAGACGGATTAGCTTGGACCAGGGAGGGCTGTGACAGTGCCCCAGGCATCAGATGGCTGGTGGAGGAGCTGGTGTCAGAACCCGGGGCCTCGCTCACCGAGATGGGCCTCGCTGCTCTGACGCCAGGTGCCTTGCACCGTGCGTTGTGTGTGAGCATCGTAAGGGCTGCTGAGTGAGAGCAGGAGAGGGAGTGGGCCTGGGTGAGTGCGGGGCAGGCAGTGCAGGGGGTCCAGCCTCCTGCGGAGGCCCCTGCTCACCAGCCCTGCGCTCCTCGCAGACTGACAAGGAGCGGCTGTCAACAGAGGCCAGGGAGCTGCGCCAGAAGGTCCGGCACCTGCAGGATCAGCTGAGCCCTCTGACCCGGCAGCGGGATTACCAGGAAAAGGAGATCCAGCGGCTCAACAAGGTGGGCACCTGGGCCCCGGCCCCTTGGGCAGGTGGAGCTTACTTGAGTCCAGCTGCCACACTGGACTCAAGTGACAGTGCCCCAGGCATCACTGGTGTCCCCATCACTGGTGCCCCCGACCCTCCACGCAGTAAGGGCAAGTCTGGGTCAGGGTGCTGGTGCTGAGGGCCTCGGTGCTGCCCTGAGATTTCCCTCCCCTCTGCCCTCCCCTCCCTTCACGCTGAGTTGCCAGCCTGGGATGAGCCTGTGCCTGCTCCCCACTCTGTCCTTGGACGTACTATTTCCTCACACAGTGCCACCCTGCTCAGGTCAGCGAGGCTTTCCCAGAATCTCATTCAGGTCACTGTGTTCTATGCCTCTAGAGTACAGGCAACATCTTTCAAACCCCTTCTTGCATTTTCTTGTGATTACTTATTTACCATTTTCTCTTCTCATGCAGAGGCGGGAGGTGTGCCTCTTCTCTAGGGCATGTCCCCCCAGTGCCTGGCACCAGGCACGTGTTCAGGAAATACTCGCTAACTGGGACGGGTGAGCGTGGGGCAGAGGGCTCCCACCCCTGTGAAGTGGGGTCCAGGGGGTGGGCCCGGTAAAGCAGAAACCCTGTCCTCCTGGCCAAGGCCCGTGGCAGTGGGCCAGGCCAGGCCTGTACCCTCTCTGGGCCTCCGTGTTACCCTCTGAACCCTGGCTGACCTCATCCCAGCCCTGCCCTTCACACAGGTCTTGGGTCAGAGGAACGTACCAGTGGAGGGACCTTTGAAAGGAAGCGTCCTTTGGAGGCCTAGAGGGCTCATTCCATCCATCTGTGGGCCAGCTTTTCCCTCCTGTTTGGTTTTGGTGTTTGAAAAGCATTGATTGTGCTGAGTCTGAGGTCCCTGGCACTTAATCTCAGAGAAAAGAGTGATTTGTCCCAAGCTGGGGGACTTGGGGCCTAAATCCAGACAGAATATGTGACCACCATGCTGGTCGCAGAGGTGGCACAGACAGGACCACTGTCCTCCGGGTTTCCGTGGTGTGGCCGGGACGGAGACACAGGTGCGGGTTATCGGTGTGAGGCCCTCCCCGCCCCAGACCTCCGTCTCCTCACCGAGGAAATGGGGCAGACACAGCCTCCCCTCACAGCATCCCGCATCGACTTCTCGGCTCAGCTGCTTCCCTGTATTTCTGGGGGAGTCAAGAGGACCAAGTGGGGACCCAGGTCCAAGCTGAGCAAGGTGTTTCTGTTCGCCATTTGGCGAGGCGCCGTGGGCTGTGCTGACACATGACAGGCAGAGGCCCTGCTGTCTGGGGGCTGGAACGCAGTGGTGAGGCACGTGACCACGTGGCCGGTCTCCAGAGGCGTTCCAGGGTCCTCGAGCAGTGGGCTAACGGAGAAAACCAGTGACTCAGAACCTTTTAATGTGTGAGCGAGTTGAAATTAAAGTCCAGTCTAATCTAACTGCAGAAGAGCTGAGGATGGCAGGGTTGGCTTGGTGGGAACGGGCTGCAGGAGCTAAAGATCTCAGGGCAGGGCAGTGGTTGAGGAGACTGCAGATTCTCCCAAAGGACTTCCTATTCCTTGTAGGTGTGGGTGCTGGGGTTGGGCCACAGGGCCCAGGGAAAGGGAAATGGAAATTCTCCCTTCTACATGAAGACCCCAGTGTAGGCTGCTGGTTGACAGCACATGCTAGATTTGAATCCCCACTTTGCTGCTTACTAGCCATGACTTTGAACAAATCATTTCAGGTCTTTGAACCTCAGTTTGCACATCTGTGAAATGGGGATGATAGGCTTACGGAGAGGGCTCAGTGAAATGATACATGTGTAGTGTCAATAAACAGGGTAGCATTTATAAGATAGTACTGGTGGTGGTGGTTATTATCATCAGGAAGTGGGTCCCTGAGGAAGACCCCGCCAGTGGGGCCTAACTCTCAGGACTTCTGCTGATGGGCCCATCCCTTATCTTCCTGATCTCAGGCCCTAGAGGAAGCACTGAGCATCCAGGCCTCCCCGTCATCTCCACCAGCAGCCTTTGGGAGCCCCGAGGGAGCTGGGGGCCTCCTCAGAAAACAGGAGCTGGTCACGCAGAACGAACTGCTGAAACAGCAGGTGAGCCCGGGGGGAGGGGGCCGGGCGGGAGGTGGAACGTTCCTGAGCGCCCAGGAGGGGCCTGGAATCACGCGGCAGCCGGACTCAGTGGCCTGCTGTCTAGTCACTGCCAGGACCTGGTCTGGTGGTCGGCCCGCCCTTTCCAGCAGTGCGTCCCTCGGTGGGTCATTCCTCTGCCACCTCTAGGACTTAGCCATCTCTGTACCCCAGTTGTGCCATTATTTACCTAGTATTTTAAGAATAAATTTTAGCCCTGGCTGGTGTGGTTCAGTGGATTGAGTAGCAAGCAGCCTGTGAACCAAAGGGTCACCAGTTCGATTCCCAGTCAGAGTACATGCCTGGGTTGCAGGCCAGGTCCCCAGTTTGGGGTGCACAAGAGGCAACCACACATTGATGTTTTTCTCCCTCTCTTTCTCCCTCCCTTCCCCTCTCTCTAAAAATAAATAAATGAAAAATTTTTTAAAGAATAAATTTTAAATAAATTACTTTCAATAAAGGTAATTAAAAGGGAGCTTTATATCAGTGTTATAAATGAAAGAACCTGTTTATTATTTGCATAAATAGAAAGTCACCATAAGCAAGAAATACAATAAAAGCCAAGCAGTTTTGTTAAACTCTAGCTGGCTACTCTTGTCTGATGTAGACTCTGAGCTTGAGTCCTCTTTCCGGTCACTGAAGGGAAATTAACACATATCTGCAGGACATTAAATACCTACTAGCATCAGGTGGGGACTTTCTCCTCGAGGGACACAGGAGATTTGAAAGGTGATTGAAAAGGCCGTAGTTGCTGCGTGTGCCTCTGTGTGGTGTCATGCCGTGGGTGCCTCTGAGTCATCGGGACCAGTAAGGGTTGAATCTGTGGGTGTGGAGGCAGAGCCTCGGGCCAGCCCCTTCCCTGCCAGGGACCCCCGGAGTCTCGGGAGAGTGTTGTAGGCCTTCTGCTCTCGGAGGGTCTTCCATCCACACTCTGGTCTCATGGCCTCCACCTCGGAGGCTGAAGCAGAGTGAGAGGGTCTGCCATAGGTCCCCTCGTGTAAGTGAAGCCCTGTGTTGAAGCCCAGGCTGTAAAACTGAGGGATCCAGAAGTACTCGGTCTGAAGTTGGGGGCAGGACTGCCGAGACGGTGTGACAACAGGCTGGAGTTCCGGGACTCGGCAGGTCTGGGCTCCGCTCAGAGCTGCCCCTCTCTGTCACCTCACCCCTCCTCGCCACTCCCTGCCCTCCAGGTGAAGATCTTTGAGGAGGACTTCCAGAGGGAGCGCAGCGATCGGGAGCGCATGAATGAGGAGAAGGAGGAGCTGAAGAAGCAGGTGGAGAAACTGCAGGCCCAGGTCACCCTGTCGAACGCCCAGGTGAGAAGAGCCGGCCCAAGGAGGGGCCCGCTGGCCTGTCCTCCTGGTGGGTGGGGGCACAGATTGAAGGGTCCCTGGTGAGACTGGATGTCACGTCATTCACTGCTTCTCCTTCTGGCTCTGCTACTGAGTTTCTCTGAGCCTCAGCAGGACAGCCCACCCCCCACTCTGACCTCTAGCTCTGACTTTCCTCAGCCACTCTCGATGCCTTTAAAGAGCAAATTTAGGGGTTGGCCCTGAGTTCTCCACTGTCTCCCAGCATGCAGCTAAAAAGTGTTACTATGGAAGCACAGAAGCAGTGAGCTCATGGGGACCCCTCTGACCTCCCACAGTGAATAGCCCTTCCTGCGGCCACAGGGCCGGGCCAGGGAGGACAGCCCAGGCCACTGGTCCCGTGCATCTGCTCATCAACCCTGGGGCTGCTAAAGAAGCACTAGAGCTGACAGTCATCTCTCCCTCCTGTCTTCTTTTAGCTAAAAGCATTCAAAGATGAAGAAAAGGCAAAAGAAGCCCTTAAACAGCAGAAGAGGAAGGCAAAGGTGAGGGGGCTTGAGGGAGGCAGCAGCACGCACTTTGCCTGACGACCTTCCGAGAACTGCAGTCCGGTGGGAGAGGCAGTGTTTGTTCAGATGCCCAGCTAACTGATGAGGTCATGCTGGTAGAGCACTGAGAAGAGTACTTGGGGTAGAGTGAGTACTCAGGTCACATTAGCTGTCACCGTTGTTGGTATTCCACACCCACGTGCCAGCCTTCCCTGTCCATGTACCAGCCAGTGTTCGATGCCCGTGTAGCAGCTCCCATGCCCATGTGCCAACCCTCAGAGAACTATAATTCTAGAGGATGAGAGATGAGGTGGGTGTCACTGGGGGTGGCCTGTGACAGGCTGCACAGGCCAGAGGCAGACCCCAGCCTTTCTCGCAGGCCTCGGCAGAGCGCTACCACGTGGAGCCCCACCCAGAGCACCTCTGCGCTGCTTACCCCTACGCCTACCCGCCCATGCCAGCCATGGTGCCCCACCACGGCTTCGAGGACCGGTCCCAGATCCGATACCTCCCGCCCCCCGTGCCCATGGAGCACCCGCCCCCGCTCCCCAACTCGCGCCTCTTCCATCTGGTGAGTTCGTGTCCCTCCTTCACTCTAGGACGCACACACAGGCCGCTCCAGACACTTTCCAGAGGGCAAGGCCAGGTGAGGGTGCCAGAAGCTCCAGCTCCCTCCTGCCAGCACTCAGATGTCCGGGGCCCAGCTCTGGCCTGCTTACCAGGGGGGCACTGTCCAGTCCAGAGCTGCTCCAGGTCACTGATGGAGGACAGAAAAGGCTGAGAAGGGGGGTGAGGCCACAAGGAGGGCCCTGTCCAACCAGCCAGGCCAGGCGTATCAGAGCTCGGGTCGGGCTTTTTCTCACCACTTCCACGTGTGGTCAGGAAGCACCGACCCTCACTGTGCGTGCTCTCCCTTTTTCTCTTCCTTCTCTTTTCCTTTTGCAATTTCCTTTCCTTTTTTTCTTCTCTCTCTCCCTTTTTGGCTTTCTTTTCTTTTCCTTGCTTATCATTCTTTCTCCAAACAGCTGCTGTCCCCGGTCCTGTCCTGTCCAGTCCCTCCGCCTCAGCTGCCTCTGCATCCCCACTCTCACCAGGACAGTGACAGCAGCCTGCTCTCCAGCCTCTTCCAGCTTCTCTCCCTGTGACGCTTCTTTACACACAGCTTTAAATGCTGGAGTATGGCATCAGGCTTAAGAAACTGGGGTGGTAGAGACCTGGATTCGAAATCGAAATTTGGCCGCTTTCCTAGATGGATGACCTTGAAAAACTTACATAACCCCCCTGAGGCGTAGTTTGCTCACCAGTGAAATGGGAGCAACAGCCTGGACTGTTCTCAGGGTGCGATTGCAGTCAGCCCTCCCCGTCCATGGGCCCACATCTGTGGTTCCCACGAACCGTGGGTTAGAAACATTCGGGGAGGTAGAAGAGGGTGATGAGGGGGTAAACGGTGACAGAAGGAGACTTGACTTGGTGGACACACGGTACAGTATACAGATGGTGTGTCGTAGACTCGTACACCTGAATCCTGTGTAATTTTAGTAACCAGTGTCACCCCAGTAAATTCAGTAAAAAGAAAGTATTTGGGGAAACTGTTACACTGTTGGTCACATGTCCTGTGCAATTAGATCTACAATGGTGTGTCTCTACTTGAACACGTACAGACTTTCTTTTTCTTGTCATTATGTCCTAAAGGGTACAGTATAACTATTTACCCAGCATTTACATTGTATGATACAAGTAATCCAGAGATGAGTTAAAGTACACGGGAGGACATGCACAGGTTACATGCAGATGCTACACGTTTCTTTGAAGGGACTTGAACACCTGTGGGTTTTGTTATCCTTGAGTAGGGGGACACCAATCCCTCGCAGATAACAAAGGGACACCAATATACTTGATTAATATGTATTTAGTGCTGTTTGGGCATGACAGCTGCTGTTGTAATTTTCAAGTGTGGTTATTGGTCACTAAGCACCAGTCTTGTTGCAGCCAGAGTACACCTGGAGGCCACCCTATGGAGGCACGCGCAGTCAGACCTCCCAAGTGACAGACTCGCCTGCAGCTAGGCCTGCAGAACCAGGTAAGCGTGGTCCGCCGCTGCAGAGGACTCTGGGAAGGGCCTCAGCTGCGCAGACAGCGTGGGCTCTGCAGGAGGCAGCACGCCCCCGAGAAGGTGTGCAGGTGGAGACTGCGGGCAGCTTGGGAGTGTGGTTGGGGCAGTCAGTGGCTGGGAGGAGGGATTGGGGGCTTCGTGGTGTTCTCATGTTCCAGAGTCCTGGAGGCTCTGTGGACCCCTCAGAGGCTGCTCTGCTGAGGGGCAGAAGGGACCCAGATGGGCGGGTCTGTGTCCCCTCCTCCAGAATATGCCCCACTTCTGGGGTCTGGGGCCGGACTGACTAGGCTCCAGTACTTTCTAGATCTGGGACCGTGGGCAGGTTTTTTAGAACCGCTTTGTGCCCTGGCTTCGTCCTCCGTAGAAGGATCGCAGTCCGCCTCCTTCACAGGACTGAGCTGAACGTACCTAAGGCACTTAGCCCAGGGCCTGGCGCTCGGTACACGTACACAATAACTCCAGCTGTTATTTTCCCTGTTGCTGTGTTGGTTTCCACAGGACTTTGAAACCTACTATACTACCTCATCTTTAAGTCCTCCAAATTTTTGTTTATTTAGACTCCACAAAAAATGACCACAAGGGGCCTCAGTGAGACCAGATTGCATCACGTGGCTCCACCTTCGTTTTGCAGAGCCAGCAGATTATGGATTACCAAAAAACTAGGGGTCCCGTGCTCTGTGTGGCCAGAGTGTCGCCGACAAGAAGCTGAGATGGGCCAGCAGCTTGCGCCCCAGCCTCCAACCTGAACTGTTGACAGATTGGGGAGGGTCTACCTCAGAAGGCCCTCCCTCCGGTGTGACTGGAAAAAACCCGCTATCCTGCCCCCGGGTGGAGAGAGGACCTGCCATCCTTCGTGGAATCCGCCAGGGGACATCAATCTCAAGAGCAGGATGCAGCTGAGACCCGTTTTTTCCAGAATGCCCCCAGAGGTGGGCCAGCCCCTCTGGGAATCACATTCGGTACTTGTCTGGTTGTTGCTTCAAGCTCTGTACTCACAGACCCGGACCACTCCCGTCCCTTCCCCTCGCGAGGAGCTGCGGGCAGTGTGCATTTGCCTCTGGGAATGGAAGATCGGACGGGATATTCCGCTGCAGGGCCTTCCGCCTCTGCCACGGCAGCCTTGCTTGTGCCAGTGCGGCCTGGGATGAAGGCCACGCCAGCCACATCGGCCGGGTGGCCCCCGCCTGAAGCTGCCAGGCCCTCTGCCTCACCACGGGAGGTTTGTGGTGCTGGAGGCCCCGACTGGGGTGGCTGTCCTTCCCTGGGCAGTTCTTTGCACGAATCTTGGATATAAATCAAATGGAAGATTTGGTGACTGGTGTTTTTATGTTCCCCTCCCAGTCAATCCCTGTCCTCTGTGCCATTCCCCCATCTCCCGAGAGCATCACCGTTAGTCTAGGCTGATACGCCCTGGGGTCCTGCTCAGACACCTGGGAGAGTGAGGCTGGGAGTCAGGTGACCGGGGTCTGAATTCCAGCCCTGTGCCTCACTGGTCAGGAGACACTGCGAGGCCTGGGCCCTCGGTGCACCACTTTCCTCACCTGCAGACAGGACACCTCATAGCAGCCCCAGCAGCCTTGGAGAATTGTGGGAGGGAATGAGAACAGATGTTTCATAAACTCCACATACTGAGTGAGACGAGCTGAGTGGGCCTAGGTGGAGACCAAAGCCCGAGCCTGAAGTACTGTACCCCTTCGCGTCTTTTCTCGGCCACGCCCGCACTTCTGAGAAAGCACCACAGTAGGCTCAGCTGCTGCAGAAAGGCTTTACTGGGCACACGGGGACGAGTCTTATGCCGTGGGTCAGGGTGAGGACTGACGGCACATCCTCCAAAGTAGCAGGGGTGGCGTCCCTGCCCGCGGGCTTCAGCCTGAATGCACTAAGGGCTGGCCCTTCGGACAGGCTCAGGGGAGGTCCGCCCACAGGGCTTCGGGCCCCTCCTTCATGGAGACACCACTCCTGACCTGGAGAACGTGCCTTGCGCTCTCGCCTGCCTTGGCTGCTCAGGGAGCGCCGTGCGGTGGGATGGGGGGCTCGGGAGGGCCCTTCAGGAAGGAGGGAGGCTGGACAGTGTGGCAAACCCAGAAACTTCCGGGCACTTCAGTGGTGGTATTTAGAGGCAGTGGGAGATGCTGGCCCTGAAGCTACCTGAAGCTAAGGTCCAGGTAGAGCAGAATAATTGGGTCTGGAGCTGGTTTTTCCTTTGGGCTCAGCTGACAGTGTGCCATCACTGGAGAGAAGGGTGTCACTCTCTAGCACTCCCCACACAGCACACAGCTGAGGGCACACATCCCGGGGTGTTCAGGCAGACACGTGCGGCTATACACGCGGGTGTATTCACACACTTGTAGGCATGAGCAAACACCCATGTGCACAGTAGTACAGATACAACCGTATGTACGCTTCTGTGTCAGACTGGGGCCTTGTTAATAGGAAGGGGTCTATGGTGGGAGTGTGGTGTGGCTGGAGGAGCGGATTCCTTCCTGAACAGAGGCCTTCCCTGGCCCTGCATGGTGGGTGTGGGGTGAGGCAGGTCTCCATTACTTCCCCCTAAGCCCCAGGGCTGCTTGGTGCCTCATGTAAGCCAGGATGTCCAACTTGACGTTGCTGACCGTGGTCCGGTGGTACCAGCGCATGATGGGTTTACCATCTGGCCCCACCAGGAACTTCTCAAAGTTCCAGCGGATGTCGTGGTTCTTCATGGGCTCCCAGAAGAGGCGTTTAGGGGAGCCTAGCAGCTCCGAGGTGGGAGGACAGGAATTCTGGAACAGGAATGCCTGCTGTTAACCCTGCCCCAGGCCCCTCCCACCTTCCTCCCCGGGGCAGGAGAACAGCTGATGCAGAGAAAACAGCCCCAGTTTGGGAGGTCGAAGACTGGATCCCAGAAACATCTTTGGCTTTAGCGGATTGTGAGGCCTTTAATCTGTCCCTTCAGGAGCCATACCTGGGTCTTACTTGTAAAATGGGCTGATGAGACCCTAAGGTATACCAAGCCCTGTAGTTGGAACGACAGGTGCCAAGAAATTCCTGAGAGCCTGAGACTGGGCCAGAGGCCTGGTCTTTGTGTGACCGGAGCCGGGAGCCCAGAGCGGTGGTGGCCCTGACCCGAGCCAGCGGCAGCTGGGCAGAGCCACTCCTGCAGGCGGCGCTGCACACTCACCTTCAGGAACGTGTAGACCTTCTGCTCCTTCTCCCCGTTCACATCTCCTTTCTCAAAGAGTTGGAAATTGGGGACAAAGCCTCCGCCTGGTCGGACATGCCTACGAGGAATGTTCTTAGGTGGGTCCCAAGGAGATGGATGGGCACAGGGCTCAGAAATGAGAGGAAGGGACAGAACGGGGCAGGGGGGTTGGGATCTGGGTTGGATTCCATGGGGCAGGGGGAGCCCCTGACTATGAATGGGCACATGGTGCGGGTCTGCAGTCTTCCCAGTTGGTGCCTTCTCAGGAACCCCCACGTGCACCCGCCTTCCCCCATGATGCAGTCACGACCAGCCATCCATCCCTGTCCCTCTCCTGTCCCCTCTTCCCCTTATTACTAAACGAGGTTCCTGGGAAGGGAGAGTTCTTGGGGGCTGATGCAAGAGAAGCCTAGTCTGGGACACGGGCTGGCTGTGTTGGCGGAGCTTTCTCTGGACACTGAGTAAGCACTCACTTGAGGGAAGGTAGGATCTCCGAGTTCTCTCCCGGCTCCTGTTGTCCGAATTGGTTGCAGGGGAAGCCCAGAATGACTAGACCGAATGGGGCAAGCTCTTCCTGTAGTGCATTCAGTTCTGGGATGTGGAGAGAACAAAGACCGGATGGCCCGGCAAGGAGCCCTGCCTCATCGTACAACTGAAATCACTGTGGCCCGAGATCACTCAGTGAATGTGTCAATGCTGAGGTTCAAGTCCCATCTTCTGACTAAGCTGGATGAGTTGGAGGTTTGAGGGGGAAAGAAGGTAATGTAGCCAGTCACCCACCCACAGCCAAAGTCCACCACATGGGCCAGGCTCCTCCACGACGCTCACAATCAGGTTTCCTGGAGCAAAAACTCTCCATCCCTGGGAGAAGGCCGAGGACTTCCCTGGGGTAGGGTAGGGCCCTCACGCCCCTCCTGTACTCTGGCAATTCAGGGGTCCGAGGGAGGCTCTGGCCCAGCTCCCTCAGTGGCCCCCTGGCCACCTATCCAAGGCCAGTACGCAGCCCATCTCCTCCTCGAATGCACTCTGTTCCAGGGGCCTGACAAGCGTTTTGGACAGAGCACCTGACCACCAGGCCCTCCAGCCCACTGTCACTCCACGTGCAGGGATTTGCTGGTCATCGCCAGGCAGGACACTGAGATTGCTACCTCACTTCCAGCCCCTCACCCCTGACTGTGCTCAACCCAGCACTACCCCTTTCCTCCACTACCTCTCTGTACTCTGCCCCAGCTAAAAAGAAATGGGTGGGGACACCAGAGGTCACAAAACCTAGGTGGAACGGCCTGCAGCCCAGCGCCTGCTTTCCAGACGGGCCAAGAGGAGTGCCGAGGGCAATAAGGCTAAAGGCAGGGGGCTAAGGGCAGGTGAGGAACTCTCAGCAAGGCAAAGCTACCAATCCTTACTCCAGGGAAAGGACACTTTAGGCACAAACCCAGTCTCCTCCATCCCTCTGCTTTTAGGGCAGGTGAGGTGACCAGGGATGAAGGATAACATGGAACTTTCTAGAAGGTGTCCAGGGCAATTAGATCTCAGGCTTAGGTCACCATCTTCACAAAGCCATGGAGCACAGTATTGGGACCCACGGAGGATCAGGGAACCTCATGGTCACTGTCGCCCCTCCCCACTTGCACCAGAAAAGCACCTGTGATTGGAATATTCCCGGCCAGCGGAAACAGCCCAGATAAAGCAGGGGAGGTGGGGTGGGCTCTTACCGATGTACTGGTTCGTTAGGCCTCAGTAGCTGGCCACGTTGACGAAGAGGACGTACTTGCCAGCGTACTGCTTGAAGGGGATGTACTCCTCCCCATCGATGGTGAGGGCTCCGTACTCAAAGATGGTGCCGCTCACGTCGGAGTAGCAGTCCGTCTGCAACAGAAGACCGGTGCCAGGGAGCAGTCAGAGCTGCCAGGGAGCTGGGCTGTCTCCATGCTGACGACCAGGGAAGGCACCAAGACCACTCCAAGCTTTGGAACTAGGCTAGAACTGAGGTCTCCTAATTCCTTGTGCCAGGGCACAATTATGGAAGAACTTCACGTGCTGGTGAGTGCTATGGAAACCTAGAGAATTCCTTAATGCAGGCAGTACCTCATGGCACATGTCAATTTGTGAGTATTTGCCAGGCCCTGACGGATCTGCCCTGACACAGGTGGTTGTGTTGCTGGATGGGCTGATGGACACTGGTTGGCTGACTGTTGCAATAGTCCAGGCAAGTGACCGGGAGGGCCCGAACCAGACCATTGTAAAGGAAGACCTGAGTGGAAAGAAAGAAGTGGCGGTATGGAAAGGGGTGATTCAGAGATTCCAAACCTGGAGGCCTGGAAAGCTGAGGCTGCTGCTACAGGGATGTAGAAGCAGGAGCCAGGAATGGGGCCAGGCCCGCCATGAGCATGAAGGGTGAAGAACAGTGGATCGCATCTATTAGACATCCCCATAAATAAGCAGTTGTGACGACGGCCCTTGTGCCTTCCTCTCTGCCCAACCTCCGCTCCAGGACAAGTAGGGACAAAGCACTGGACTGCCAGTCGGCGGGCCTGGATTCCATGTCTAACTCCCTGTGTGGTCCTGGACTGGCCCTTTCGCTTCTCTGGGCCTCAGTTTCCCCTTTTACAAAACGAGAACCTTGAACTAGACCAACTATTTTCAACCACGCCGGCCTGACAGCATCCTCTCAGTGGAGTTACTGCTGGCAGGCGGGAAATTGCATTCGACTCTGCTGCTCTCTCATTTCTGGCCCAGATTACAAAGATCTGCATCTACTCTTGAAAGGACGTCATGGCATTGGTAACAATCAGCAGGTGGGCGGTTGTGACGGGGAGGAAGGGGGCTCACCACTATTCTCCTAAGGCGCTTTCCGGCCCTGACTGCCTATGAAAGGTGGGAAGACCAACTAACCGAGAGAGGTAGAGACAGGTGATTAGAGTCTCAGGAGCAAATCCACGCCCTCTCTTCCCATCAGTCCTGGAAGACTTGCTCCAGGAGAGTGAAGAAAAGCCTTTAAGATGCCACAGGCTGCTGAGCCAGGTGGGGCTGGGCCCCTCCATCTCCCGAGAACTGTAAGCTCTCTCAGCTTCAGTGCCAATTCCCTGCTTTACATGAGCCTAATATTCCACTCCTTGACTTGGTGGGCGCTAGACCTGAGCCCAACATCCCTGCAGCCCCTGGGCCTCCTTGGCCCCAGCTGGGATCAGGTCCACTTCAAAATACAAACAACAAAGGGCACAACAAACTACGGCCCGGCTGGCCACAGAGGTCCGGCGGCCGGAAGGCAGGGCCTCCCTGCACACCTCTCCGCCTCCTCCACTCCGCCCAGACTGGAAAACGAACTCTGGGAGATGGAGAGGGAGAAAAGCCAGGAGGTTGTCCAAATAACGAAAGCTCGCAAACAACTGGTGGATCAACTTCTGGGCACAGTTGCAGGGTGGGGGGTGGGGCAAGGGGCGTCTCCTCTGTTTAGGTTTTAGTCTTTGCTGTCTGTGTAGCCCCCAGCAAGTCACTTGGACCCTCTGAGCCTCCCCAAACGGCTGTGAGAATCTGCTGGCTCTTCAGACTGTCTTGAAAGCCTCTCAGAAAGAAGTCCCCACATTGAGGGACAGTAATTATTCTGCCTGCAGCTAAGGCAAAGGGCCCTGTTGTTCCCACATTATTGTCACAATGTTCCCCAGCCAGTATGAAGAGGATGATGCACTGGCAGAGTGTCCCCAGCAGGAGGGACCAGACCAATGTGGGGGTGAGGGTGGTCAGAGTGTGGCCAGCGGTCGGGGAAGCCATGGCTTGCACTCACCACTGCAGCCCAGTTCTTATGTGAGCCTCCGTCCCTCTTCTAGGCCCATAGAACCCCAGAGCCCTGCACCTTCAACAGGGGAGGTCAGAAAAGCTAGAGGAGAGAGGCAGGGGGAGTGCCTCAATCCTCCGGCAGCTGGACAAGACAGGAGAGTCTGATGGTGAGAGTGGGAGGGGGCGGGGACTCGGCCAGGAGCCTGCTGGCTGGGGCTGCTGGTCTTGTGTCTTTCTCCTCTATCTCACAGCCCCATCAGTGGGATTCTGTGAAAGGGTAACCTGGGGGGCAGGGGGCAGGAGACCTGAGCTCTGGGCCGCTGACTCTGGGGCCACTCCTTTCCCGCTCCTCCATTATGAGACGTAGTCAGATTCAATGCCGTCTTGAGGGCCCTTCAGCTCTGTCAGCCTGTGGGTCCAATGATTCTCTCTGCCTGGTTTAGTCACCTAGAAACCAGCGGTTACTAGGGTCCTGTGCACGTCAGCAGCTGTTACTGTCTCCAGCTTCTGCACAGTCCTTTTGTAGAACAAGGACAGAGAGCCTGGGCAGCATCACGATGGACTACAGAGCAAGGAAAGGAGGATTCCTTTTGTTCTCTAGCCCATGCCTTTGAATTGGGAGGAGGCAAACATCTCTTTGGGACCATCACCTCTGGCCCATCCCATGTCCCGTGTGTCCCACCTCTTGGCCCTGGGGTGCGGGTGGTGGGGTAAGGTAAGTGGTTGAGTCCTAGAACCAGGGTAATGATATCTCCACTCTCTAAGGACCTGGGAGGAGAGATGAGGTGCCCGAACTCTCATTAGCCAGCAAGTCCTGGCTGGTAGCATCTGATATCATCACACCTCACCCTACGACTTTTCTAGACCATACCCATCCTGTTCCCTCTGAACCCAGCTCTTCCTCCCCAGGGAACTGCAGAGAACTCGCAGCTGTGATGAGTTATTCCTGGGGTCCGTGCTCTCACCTCCGGCCTTCCTGAGGAAGGGCCCAACCCTCCCTTCTCCCACTCTCCCCAAACTGAGGGCACAGCACTGACTCCATGGGGCCGACCTGCCCGTGGTCTGTCCCCACCTCCGCTCCACACCCTAATCTCAAAATCAGTCCCATCCCTGCCCTGGAAAATGCCGTCTGGGTTGGAGATTGGGAACAGGTCTGAATACAAAGGAGGAGGCTTGGAGGAAGTAACCTGATAGCCATCTAGTCTCCAGGCTGACTGCGAGGAGGGGCGCACCGAATGGGATTCGGGCTGAGGACAGGGTGGGGGACAGAAACAGACAGAAGGAACCCTGTGCTTGGAGTGGGCTTCCTGAGCAGTAGATAGAATTTTGGAAACAGAATCATGGACTCCTAAGATCTCAGAATAAGGACCCAGAAGATACTAGAATCGCAGAGGCTCAAAGGTTCTCCTGAGCTCACACGAGTGTGGGGGCAGGTGTTCAGGTTGGAGACGGAGATCTCTCTCTTTGGGTCTATGCCTGGCTTCTGCCTCCCTGCCCTGGGGACGGGGAGAAGTCCACAGGGCCCACCTCGGCGTGCGCGATCCAAGGAGATGGACATGCCAGGTCACCCTGGCCTAGCTTAGGGTCTCGTAGCTTGCTGGGGACAGACTGAGGCTCAGGGGATTCTGCCTCTCCTACGAAGCGGCTCCAACACCAGGAGTGCGCTTCAGAAAAGAGTGTGTGCATTTTGCAGCTACTCCCAGCCTCCCTTCGGAAGTCGTCAGCTTCGTCGTGCTGCTGCCCCTCCCCCCCAACACACGCGCCTCCTGAAGATGGAAAAACAGGCCCGGAAAGGAGCAGGGAGCGAGTCCGGTCCTGGCCGCGGCACACTGCCCCTCCAGAGCTCTCTCCGACTCACATCTCTGCCCCTCCTACCAACGCCCCCAATCCAAGCGCACTTCCACCTGTGCTTATTCTTGGCTAGCAGAGCCCCCCAAGGCAGTTCTTCAAAACAGGGGACCCTCCAGCTACAATTCTCCCTCCCTTACCGGGGGGCTGTTGGTCTCTCTGGGAACCTCGCTGCCCATGCTCTAGGCCCCTTTCTGTGGCCGCCCCCCCTTCAGATCTGACTGGAGGGCAGCAGCTCAGGGGCAGGGGTGGCATGGATGTTGCAAGGCGACCCTGAGGTAGCCTTGGGGAAGAAACTGCGAACTCGGGGAGAGGGATTTTGCTCCCCTATTCACTCTGCCCACCGGGGCACCCTGCTCTCCCACAGGTGAAACTGAGAGGAGACCGATGGTCTGGGGGTGGGGGTCCCGGCGTAGGAGAGGGAGGCATCTGGTATAGGGTGTCCCTGTCACCTGGGTGTCGGCCTCCTGGAGGGGAGCCCGGGAAGAGGAATGCTTCTCCACCGAGAGCTGGACGCCTGGGGTCTATGCGTGTTCCCTGGCTCCCCACCCCGAAGGCTACTCACCTTCGACTTCTGTCCCTGGCTCGGCGGGACAAAGCCGGCCAGGAGCAGGGACAAAAGGCAGGATGCCCGGAGCAGCCGGGCCATGGCGGGCTGGGGGGTGTCTCGGGCTCGCTGCCTGAAACGCTGTCTGATCCCGGGTCACCCTCCGACTGAGGTGTCCAGCACTCTCAGCCACCTTTCAAGCCCTCAGTGATGACCAATCTGTGGCCGGCCCGGAGTCCTTGTAGCCAATCGCACGGCGGCTGGCATTTCAGGGGCGGGCACGATTTACTCACTTCTCCCCCTCCCGGGGCTCCGGGCGACAATGACGTAAGCAAGTCTGGGTAGAGACCAGGGAGTCGATCCTGGTGCACCTGGGAGGCTGGGCCCTTCTTTTTCGGTTCTAAAGTGCAGGAGGGGGCAGGCACAGTGCCTCCATCATAGCCAGGGCTTCAAAGAGCCTGAAAAAATTGGTGGAAAGCTCAGTCCTCAGAAGCATCTCTTACTCCCAGGCTTTAAACACCCTGTGGTGTTCCCCCTTCCCTACTGACCCCATTCTGGTTGAAGGTATGTCGAGGATTTAAATTATGAGCAAGACCTGAAGTTAGACTTCCAGCAACATTTACTCTGTGTAGGTTTAATGTTTAAGAAGCACACTGGTTGTTCTAGGATTTTGAATGCAGCCCCCTCCTGGGAGGACGCTGGGATACCTCAGCTGCTTTGGGAGCAGGAAATACATTTGTTCCCTGTACAGTCTTGAACCAGTTGCTTTCCCTCTCTGGGCCTCAGTTTCCCCAACTGTGTAATGGGCTTGGTTGACGGTTTCTAAGGCCTTGCTGATTCTGGCTAGATCACTTGCTTCTCAAATAAGCAGCAGATCAGGAGTCCCTTGAGAGTAGGTCCCATAATTACGGCCCGGGACAGAGCCTAGAATGCAACATGCTAAATATTTGCTGCATGACTCGATCGGTGAATTCATTTCTGTGCTTGGAGATGCCAAGCGTCGGGTCAGGCAGCTCCAGGTCTGTGCTGTCTAGGTATGACCCTGTCCACAGACAGGGGATGCGTTGAAATCAGTGCTTTCCGCAGCTGTCTGACGACCTCGGAGGTTTGTGACCCAGGTTTCCCGGCCCCGCTGCAGAGTCCCTGCATTCCAACCTGAGGGGCGCAGGCCGGGAGTCTGCCTGCAGACGCTCTCCAAAGGTGGTTCTGAGGCAGGTGAGTCTCCGTCTTCTGACAGGGAAGTATCTTGAGATACCACTTTTATTTTATGATTTAAGATATTATGTTCCCATGGGAGGGAACAGTCACAAAGGCCAGTCTCCAGTCCCAGACTCTCTGTGAAGCCTTCCTCACCTCAAACCATAGCTTGTTGACATGAAGGCCAGGGAGTGTGTAAATGAGTTAAAGCACAGAAGCATTTGAACACTGGCTGACACGGAGTCTGTGCTCCATGCACGTGATGTAGTCAACCACCTCATTGCACTGAAGCCTGGGGACGGGGGTCCATTTCCACAAGTTTCCATAGCAAAGAGGAGGCAGAGAGGAGACCGGAGTCCAGGTCTCTAGACTCTGGGCTCGGGTCCCCCTCACTCTGTTCCGCCGTCTTTTCTCTGCCGTGTGTACCCAGAGGTACAAACACACGCAGGCCTATTAGTGCATCAGAAGCCCACCCTTCATTTGCGTCTGTAGCCCCTAGTGACTCAAAACGGTGTGCCTAGCATGGCACTAACACCACGAGAGATGTCAGAGAGTTTTCTAGAAGCTATAGCCCCTGCCTTCCAGGGATGGCCGGGACAGCGACAACTAGAAGGAGGCAAGTGGGCACCTGGGACGGGGCGCGCTGAGCACCTGCGGTCCTGCAGGTGCGGAGCTGGCACCGGGGAGGGAACACCTCCTTAAGTTCTGCACCTTGTGTACCAGACTTGCCTCACCTGAGCCCCGGCCCTGCTGTCCAGTTTCTTTGGCAGAAATGAAAAGGCCTTAGAGGCCCGAGGCCTCCTGTGGGGCCATGAACACAGTACTTCCCTTCTCTGGGCCTATGGGCCCGTCCGGGAAACAAGGGGGTTGACAGTCCCTCGGGGCGTTCTCTGTGGCCCTGCAGGGCCAAGGGTCTAAGGAAGGCCAGTGCTGCACCACACCGAGGGGTCCCTATTTCACGGACAGTGGGGTGAGGGGTGAGGGGTGAGGGGAGCCCGACCTGGTGCTGAGGAGGCCTTCAGGGGCACAGGACGGGTCCCAAAGGCGGTCTGAGCCTCAGCACAAAGCACGTGAAGGCAAGAAGGAAAACAGCACCTCCCAGTCTTCCCACCAGTTTTTCAAGCACATTTTGGTCGATCTGTTCCCAGGAACCCTCTGTTTTGAAAGGTGGTGTTCTCCACCAGGCTGTTTCCTCTTGCCCTCAGGTTGAAGTCCAAATTCTTTAGCGCTTCAGACAGCGTCCTCAAAGCCCAGCCACTTCCCCCTCTTTTGCCACACTGCTCTTGTTCTCTGCCTCCCCGCTGTGCTGGGCGTCAGCCGGTTCTTCCAACACGCCATTCTCTCTCGCCTCCAGGTTTTGTCTCTGCTGCGCCGAGAGCACTCCACGGTCTCTTTCACGGGTTCTCTCCTACCGTTTGTCATGTCTCCACTTCGATGTCACTGCTTAAGAAAAGAGTTTTGTTCGGGTCTCCTTATCGAGTCCCCTTATTATAGTTCCGATCCCCTTATGGCTCCTAGCGCATTCGACACTTCCTATATTAACCCTTTGTGACACTTTTCATTTCTTGTTTGTCTGTTTTCTACACTAAATCATACAGCACACAAAAGCTTTGTTCCCAATACTTTGCACAGGGTTTATGCATAGTAGATGCTCAATCAAAATCTATTCAATAAAACACTACTTGGCGTAAAGAATAAACAGAGTTTCAGGTCAGCACATGCTAACAAGTTTGAGTCCACAAAAACTGGTCTGATTCCACCTGCTAGTAAGACTCAAGCGAGCTTATGCTCAGAGAGCTTGTCACAGGAGAGTAGGTGATTTGCATGGGGTTTGGGAAAGGAAGGGTGGAGACTTGTAGACAAGCCAGAAGCCAGTTTTGCTTACAGCCTGAGGAAGTGCTCTGGTACATTCCAGACGAGTGGGCACCCAGTACCTTTCCACCCTCTTTTTTGAGACATGTGCAGGGAGCTCACTACTTACCCAGAATATATGTTTGGTGAGTGAATAGGGACTGCAGGTGACTTAGAAGGAGATTAAAAAAAAGTGTTGACCTGGCTGGCGTAGCTCAGTGGATTGAGCGCGGGCCTGCGAACCAGAGTATCGCGGTTCGATTCCCAGTCAGGGCACATGCCTGGGTTGCAGGCCAGTTCCCAGCAGGGGACGCATGAGAAGCAACCATACATTGATATTCCTCTCCCTCTCTTTCTTCTTCCCTTCCCCTCTCTCGAAAAATAAATAAATAAAATATTTTTTTAAAAAAAGTGTTGATGTTCTGTGTCTCCAAGGAACATAGAACATGAGTTAATAAGCTAAAAAGGCTGTAAAAGCCAAAATGGTGAAATCCAGCCCCGTCATTGTTGAGTAAGTGCTGAACTCAGGGCTGGGGTCAGCCCGCCCAGCAAGTGGGTCCGGTGGAGGCAACAGCAGGGAGGCCCAGCCCCCATCACTTCGATGCCAACTTCCAAGAATGGCCCTGTTTCACAATCAAAATGGGGTTGCAGAACCTAGGTCGGGCCAGACGCTGGTTTTTCTGAAGAAGTGGCAGAGCCAGTCTCAGAGCCAGCCAGGAGATGGGGTGTCTATGAGAGGAGATGTGGCTAGAGCCTTGGCTTTGGAGAGCAGTGCCTTCTGAGCTGAGATCAGACAGGGTGATCTCAAGGGCCAACCTTTTGGATAATAAGAGTAACAGCCAATACTCACCCAACATCCTGTCTGTACCAGGTACTATTTTACAGATGAGGAAACAAATGCATGGAGAAGTTCAATGCTTTTGCTTAATTAAGGTCATGCAATTGGTAGGTGGCAGAACCAGGATTCTGACCCAAATGTACTGTCTCCAGAGTCCTTGACATTCATCTCTAAGCCTGTGCTGTCAGCTTAACAGCCACTAAATGAGTGTGGCTAGTGAGCACTTGAAATGTGTCTAGTCCCAATTGAGATGTGCTATCGATATAAACTACACACCAGATTTTGGAGACTTAGTATAAAAAAATGTAAAAATATCTCAGTAAATCTTTACATCGTTACATGTTGAAATGTTTGCTTTGATTCCCAGTCAGGGCACATCTCTGGGTTGCAGGTTTGGTCCTTGGTCAGGGCATGTATGACAGGCAGACGGACCGAACTCTCACATCGATATTCCTCTCCCTCTCCTTCTCCCTCCGTTCTCTCTCTCTCTCTCTCTCAACAACAACAACAAAAAGTCCCCTCCCTTCTTGCGATGTTTTTACATGTTGCTGGGACCAAAAACAAGTACCCTTTCCCCCGTTTCCTGGCAGAGTTCCCTACCTATGCCTCTCCTAGCCTCACTCCACCCACCCTCTAGGTCGTTGTTAGCTGGGAGACCACAGGACTGGAGTAGCAATAGCAGTCTTTATAAATAGTCACCGAACAGTAAACAGCCCACTTCCTCCTTCTTATGGGTTAACTAACAATGTACAAAGCAATGAGACCCAGAAGGAGCCAATAAACTCCAGAGTAGGACAACCAGAGGTGTTAGGTAGCTTACCAGCCCCCCTGCCTCTCTTCTCCCAACAGGACCCCCAGCTTTCAAAATGGCCAATTCAGGTCTACATCATTCTTACCCTGTCCCCAACTTAGAAAGTTCATGTCAAGGGAGCGTGGGAGGTGTTCTGGAGAAGGTTGGCCTGAGGCTCTGGAACCCTGACCCCCCCCCAACATGTGCCTTAGACTAGTCTCTTCTCCCTGAGCCTTGGACTCCTCCCAACTCTGAAATGAAGAAATTAGAATTGAGAGGTTTTGTCTGTGTTGGTCAGTCTATAATTGCACAGTTTCTCATGCACTAACCCCCGGGAGGATTTCCTGACGATAAATGGGGTGGTGGCTTTGCATGTCTGCCCGGCAGGGCTGGGTCACAGGATGAGGGTGGACTGGGGTAAGTCATGTTGTTTGCTCCTTCGTGGTTGCGGCCCCCTCTAATGGCTGTTTTGATTTTAAATGAGGGAGAATGCTCAGTTCACCAT